AGAGCCTTCTCCTGGGAGACAAACTCTGCTTGTACCTGCAGCTCAGAGCAGCCTGTTAGGTCCCAGGGGGCAAAAGTCCATCAGCCTGGCAGTTCAGCACCATGTGGAACAAACCAAACGGCATATTGGACTGATTCCCACTAGTCAGTGGTTGTTTGCTCACGTGAAGGCAGCCTGTCCGAGATGAGCCCTCAGGAAGACCAGCTTTGGCGCAAGTTGTATAGGGCCAGGGCTGGGGGTGGGGGGAGGGGTAGCAATAGTCCTTTTCAATTTAGTAAAGGGAATTTTGTATGTATGTGTTTAAAAAATAGTTCAGTCGTTCTAATATTTGTCTACCAGATTAACCTTCCTCAAAAAACTGATTTAGACAAATGAAGTGTCTGGTGCCTGTGAAATAATGCGTGTAGTATAGAGTTTGCATATTCATCCCAATGGAGGTGTCGAGAAGACAGTGAATGTATGGCGCTCAGAGGCACTGTCTAGGCTGGAGAGCAATCAAGAGTTTATTAAAACAAAACACAAGAAAAAATTTTCATAACTAGGTGTGGTGATGGATGTTAACTAGACTTACTGTGGTGATCATTTTGCAATATATATAAATATTGAATCATTGTGTTATACACCTGAAACTAATATAATGTTACATGTCAATTATATCTCAGTAAAAATAAAAAATAATAAAATGCTGACTCCCGCAAAACAAAACAAAAATCCCGAAGGGATAATACGACGAATCTTAAGTAAACAAGTATTTTCTTGCACTTATGGTTTGTTAGTGGTAATAAAATAAGCAGAGATAGACAAGCACTAGTCAAATGGGAACAAAAATAGGGATTTTTGATTAACCACAAGTTTAATTTGAACCTAAACTGCTAAAAAAATAAGTAAATAAATAAACACAAAAAGGGAGCCTGTGGCTGTGATTACAATTTTTAAAAAAGTGGTTGTTGTTGAAGCACCTAGCAGGGGCAAGCACGGTGGTGGGTCCGGTGCTGTATCACGTCCGTTGAACAGCCCCGAGAGGTGTATGTGGTGCCCCAGGTAGGCTCTGCACGCGGTGCGCTGTCCTTGCCTCGCTGGCTGCTGGCCGCCCCTGCCCGGAATCCCACATCCCCTTCCTGAAGCCGCCTGGGGTTGAGAGCTCTTCAGCTTCAAACCCACACCGTGGTTTCTTCAGAAAGTCTCCCCCGTTCCCCCAGTCCCTCCAGGCTGAGTAAGGTGTGTAACTATTTGTCTTATTTCCTGAGTAGCTGTGAGCAGAGACTGTCACATGCATCTCTGCATCACTAAATGTTTTTTAGACTCACTGGCATCTGTGCTTGTCAGACAAAGACAAGAGTATCATACCCAGATCCTAAGAGAACATGTGACAGGTGGGGACTCACTGGGGTGGCACAGGGGCCCGTAGCTGCGTTGTGTGAATGGTGGATGGCAGAGCCAAGGTGTTCCTTCAGTTGTCCACTAGACTAGCAGAGCTGTCCAGAGCCCCTTTGTACCTCTGGAGGGCAGGCAGGGAGTGGGCTGACCCTCAGAACAAGGACAACTCAAACCATTTCACAACAAACAGGCTGCTTTGGAGAGCAGAGTTCTCCGTTGTCAGCAGTTCCACTCAGAGGCTCGGCGTGCTCTTCGGGCTGCTTTAGGAGGCGTGCTGTGTTGAGCAGGAGAGGGGCTAGGTCCTCTCCAGAGCTCTCTTCACAGGGAGCAGTCATTAGGCCCCTGCTCTCTGCCAGGTTCTGGAGATAGTGGAGAATGAGACCCCTGTGTCCCTGCCCTTGGGGAGCCTGCACCGTGCAGGCTGTGTTACTTTGGGTCTTCCAAAAGCAGACACCAAGACCCCCAGGACGGTTAGATTCTAGAGATTTATCAGAAGGTCAGTGAAGGATGGAGGGAGCAGAGAGGCCCAGAGAGCCTCAGGCCAAGATGCAGGTCTGACGTCTGCAGAAGGAGAAGGGGCGAGAAGGACTGAGTAGGAAGCGTCTCAGCCCACAGCACAGTTCTGAGAAAACTTGGGCCTGGCTGATGAGGTTTCCCCTGGTGAGGAGCCCTGCGTGGGACAGCCATCCCTGCCACCATTGAGTCATTGGCGGAGAGTGGCCCAGAGAATGTGGCCTCTGTGCAGACGTGGTGGGCGTCCAGAGGGCAGCAGCTGGGACCACTGGTCAGCTCTGCTCCAGAACAGGCTCGTTTGAAGGTGATCAGAAGGGCGGCACTCCACGGCCTTCACACAGGGACTCTACCACACGGTTCCTTCCTGGTTTGCTCCCCAAGAGGCATCTCAAGGGCTTCTGGGTCACGTGCCGGTAAGCGCTACGCCTGGGATTTTGGCTCAGATCCCTCTGACTTAATCGAGTCTGTGCTTTGTTACCTAACACTGTGCCACGTCTCAGGACCTCTCCCAGCTCCTGAGCCAGCATTCAGAGCACACACCTACTTGCCCACTGTCACCATGAGCGCCTAAGTGCGTGAGTAGCAGTAAGTGACACAACTTAGCCCAGAACTTGATTAGTAATTAGTTTACATTGGTGTGGGACTCTGACTTGATCTCAACCAAGGTCTGTCTAATTCTGTGTACAGTTTACTCTGATTCCTACCTTCGACTTCATGAGGACAGGGCCCCTAAGACTCAGCTAGGGGAGCGGCAACTCCTCCTAATATTCTCGTAGAAAATACATGGTTTCGGGCTCCAGAGCTCAGAGAAGGCAAAGCATAGTGCTGTGTTTGGTTTTCCTTTTGTTTTTCTTTTTTCCCCGTTTTTCTTTTTTTTTTTTTTTTTTCCCCCCGCCAGTATGATATGGCTGTCTTCTGGGGAAGCGCATGCCTGCTAGGCTCATTACTGATTTCCCCTTAATTATTTGTTGAATGAATAATGAATTATGAGAAAAAAGATGTAGCACAATTGCACAACAAAACCCACATAATTCACTCCCAGTACACATGTCCACAGAAGGAGCCTCAGCACAGGGCGTGGACAGCTGGCGTCCAGTGTACCCCAGACTCCTGCACCCTCGGGCAGAGCTGAGGGGCCAGCAGAAGGATTGAGACGGAGCAGCGTAGGCCTGGAACGGGTCTGAGAGCGCCGGCACGTGAAGTTGTTGGCTGGACAGCCATCAAATGTACGTAGGGATTCGTGTAACGTGAGGTGAGGGCATTTGTATGGACAGGTCTGTGTGTGCACGCACCCAGAATTGTTGCCAAGGGGGTGACCATCTGTACGTGTCTCCTGCACCGTCTTGGAGTCGTAGGGGAGCCGGGTCCTGGGGAAGCTCAGCCCACGAGAGCCCTCAGGCAGGCTGCCTGGGCCAAGCTGAGGTTTCTGGGTCCCTGAGGGCCAGTCTCCTGAAAACCATCGTTTTGTCACCTGGTGACCACTGGGACTGGGGAGAGAACTTCTCCGTATATTTGGTTTCCCTGCCCTCTTAGATATGGTGAAGGGAACGGACTGTGACTTTCTCCTGACTGCTCGGTCTCATCATCACGATTATCACAATTACACACACTTTCACTTCTTTATAAGTTGGCGCCGACTTGCTGGGCTTTAACTTTCCGTTTCGAATTCTTCAGCCTCCCTTTCCGCTAACAGCCACTCCTCACTGCTGTTGGTGTGCCTACCTTTGACAACGACGTCTTACCTTTTTTTTTTTTTTTTTTTTTTTTTTTTTGGGGTATGCGGGCCTCTCACGGCTGTGGCCTCTCCCGTTGCAGAGCACAGGCTCCGGACGCGCAGGCTCAGCGACCATGGCTCACGGGCCCAGCTGCTCTGCGGCATGCGGTATCCTCCCGGACCGGGGCACGAACCCATGTCCCCTGCATCGGCAGGCGGACTCTCAACCACTGCGCCACCAGGGAAGCCCGTCTTACCTTTTTAATTGGGGGATTCTAATATATTAGAGACTGAGAAAGTAAATGTTTAAGATTAGTAGGCTTATATGTAAATGAAGAGGCCGGTGGGCTCTGGGATCCTTGCCCTGCATGCTGTGGCGGGAGTTGCAGTGTGCTGACTTCAGTCATGACTATTTTCTCTCTCCGGGTGCTTATTTTGCTTCTTCCCTGGTTTTCTGTCACATGCTGAACAGGGGAGTTTGCTTGGAAATGTCTCCGTTGAAGCAGGGTGGACCATCTATTCATTTTGGTTTTCATCACTCTGTTCTTTAGAAGAGATCACCTAATCATGTTATTGTCTACATAGCATGTGTGAAGCCACACTATCGTGCTATCATAAATCGAGCATTTTGTTGGATGTTGTGGAGAATATTATCTATATCATGTATTCTAGAGTCAGACAGAACAGGTTGGAAATCCCAGATAAAATCGCTGAGTACCTATGTGAATTTGTATAAATCTTTCCAAGTCTCTGAGCCACTCTCTTGTCATCTACAAAATGGGGGAAATAAATGGCTGCTTCATAAGTTGCGAAGCTTATGTGCTTTAGTGCATTGTCTTATTTAACACCGTGCCTGGAAGATCGTGGACAGTTGGCAAATTATAGCTGTAATTCCTTTCTAATTCAAGCACCTTTTCCCCTGAAAGTGAACCTGGGAGTCTCTTCCATGCTATCAGAAACTTTGGCATAGGGACTTCCCTGGTGGCGCAGTGATTGAGAGTCCGCCTGCCGATGCAGGGGACGCGGGTTCGTGCCTCGGTCCGGGAAGGTCGCACATGACACGGAGCGGCTGGTCCCGTGAGCCATGGCCGCTGAGCCTGCGCATCTGGAGCCTGTGCTCTGCAACAGGAGAGGCCACAACAGTGAGAGGCCCGCGTACCGCAAAAAAAACCCAAAAAAACTTTTGCATAGAACCTCCTGTCCACTCTCCCTGGTCTTTGGAGAGTCAAAACTTATCACCTCACAGAGCGGCCCTTCCACAGACAGTTGGACGCTCTGGCAACTAGGAAGTTCCTTTGTGTCAAGCGGCAGTTGGCCTCTGTTTCAGAAAAGGACAAAGCCAGCATCCATCCCTTGTAACTGAGGCTGACGCTTAACGTTTTCTCTTGGTCTGCAGCGAACAGAGTATCTGCCAAGCCCGGGCTTCCGTGATGGTCTATGATGACACCAGTAAGAAGTGGGTACCAATCAAACCTGGCCAGCAGGGATTCAGCCGGATCAACATCTACCACAACACTGCCAGCAACACCTTCAGAGTCGTTGGAGTCAAGCTTCAGGATCAGCAGGTGAGTGCTGGGGTGACAGGCCGTCCCCACAGACACCTCGCACACACACACCCCTCACACACACACCTCACACACACACACCTCACACACAACTCACACCTCACACACAACTCACACCACACACACCTCACTTCACACTCACCTCACACACACACCTCACACACACCTCACACACACCACACACACAAAACCACACACACCTCACTTCACACACACACACACCTCACACACACCTCACGACACACACCACACATACACAAAACCTCACACACACCTCACTTCACACACACACACCTCACACACACACACCTTACACACACCACACACACCCACACACACATATACACACACTGGTGAAAAATGGTCAGAGAACAACAAGGTCACGATTTAGAGTCAAAGGTCTGGGTTCAGTGTCTGGCTCTGTATTCTCATACTGCAAGGTGTAAGACCTTGAGCAAACTGTATCTTTTCTGAACATCATTTTTCACAGCTGTCTTACACAGGCAGTGATCCACACCCTGCCTGCCTCACTGTGTTATTGTCATATTAGAATATAAATAAAATAATAAATGTGAAACAGCTTTGAAAAGTATATTGTACCAATGTGTTAGTATTATTCTATGCCTGCGTACCCATAAGTGATACAGCTGTGAAGATTTTTGGTCCACCAGTCCCCTAAGTCTTACTTTGGGGGGAATATCAAGATGATTTAAAGAATCTGGGATCATTCTTCTCCGTAATAGTACATCCTGGACAAATCAGATGAGATAGTTTGTGAGTGTACCTGGTAAGTACCTGTGCCAATAAATACAAGGTAAGTCCACCTATGTCTGGGGTAGTCGTGTACACATGACTCAGACGGAGTGATCTGACGTGTCGTGGACTGAAATAGAGGCGTGGAGAAAGGGCTCATGTGGCTTCACCACAGTGACTTTGTTAGGGCTTCAGGCTCTCCCTCCAGCTCTCTTCTTAGAGATGGACAAGGACATTTTTCAGCAGTGAAATCAACAGATCTGTAGTTCAGCATTTATGAACACCTCTGCCTTAAATAGGCAGCCTTTGTCAGTCAGCCCTTGGCTGAGTTGAGCAGCACGTTTGCTGCTATCTTTGCAAGAATCATCGTGTTCTCAAATAGGAAAGAGAGAACAGAAACTGAGGACTCTGTTTTTAGTGTGTTGCCTATTGAATGGGTTTCTGCTTTTGCCAAAATAGTCCTATTAAATTTCAGATTGTTGTGGCTAAAAGGGACCTCCTCACTGCAGAACCCCTGATCAAAGGTGGTCTTTTCTGACCTGGAACTCTGGGTACCTTCAGGGGCATCCCTGTCCCTTGTTGATGAGCCTTACGGATAGGCAGGTTATTCTAAAAACCTTCTAGAAGCTGCTTCCCTGTTCTTCTAGTTCACTGATTCTAGCTCTGCCTTTTAGTGGCACACTGCACCATATGCTGCAGGACTTATAACATCTTTAGGCCCAACTATAGCGACAACCAAAAACATCTCACACATTTCCCTGACAGCCAGGGCAGTTCCACCCTGGTACTTGCCTTTGACATAAGGCCCATTATCTCATGCAGTTCCTGAATCATAGTGGGTGTTCCCTAAGTGGCTGCTTTTATTATGACAAGTTTTCCATTCTCTTCATGCCTCTTGGTTGCCCTGCAGGGCACACTAGGAAGATACCATGGTGTGTGGGAACCAGCGTGAACCTGGTTCTCGGAAGCCTCAGCTTCCTTCAGAGGAAAGCACGTGTTGGGACGCGTTTGGAAGGAGAGCTTTCCTGCGTTCAGGGAGGGACTGGCAGCCGTCCTCAGTGATCTCCCGGGGAGACTCAGAGAGACTCTGTTGCCTCGAACTCAGAGATCTTCTGGGACCTGATGGAGAAGTTACCAGCATAGCCTTCCACTTGGAATGACACGTTCATCAGACAGGCTCCTGCGACATGGTTGCAACTCTGCCCAGGTGGGTGGGACACAATAGCCAGGAACACAGAAGAGATTCTCAGTAAACCAAGGTATTAGAGAAAGTGGCAGGAAACCTGGTCCATAATAACTTTTATGGACCCAGGAGAAACTATGGATTTTCACAGGTCTGATTTCCACTCAGTATGGATTACAAGGTCAAACGTCTTAAGAGAGACAAGAGATTCCTGGTTTTATAACCAGAGCTGGGTATCTTACACGTTCAGTGCTCTCTGCGGCTTACAGAGCACTGTTCATGTTTATTATTTCAGTCCCCCAGTAACCCCATGAGGATAATGGTGTAAGAATTGTCTCCCCCATTCTGCTAAATAGGTGGACATAAAACCAGGTGATCATTTGTGGGGAAAAGGACTGGTAAGTTATAGTATCATTAGCCAGGGTCTAACCTGAATCTCACATTAAAGGTGAAGAAACCAGAAGATGTTTAGTTGAGAAGGAGTTATGGCCACTAAACATGTTAGTGACTCTCAGGCTGAACTAATAGAAGTAGAGGCCCAGAAGGAGGGATGTTATAGTCGTGCTCTGCTCTGCCCTGGTCATACTTCCCCGTGAGCGTTGGGACCGAATCTGAGTGCCGTAAATGGAATCTGTAAGGACGAGGGCGTCCAAACTGGTGAGAGGTCTGAAAGCAGCATTACTATGTGGAACAGTTGAACAAGTAGCAAGAGATATTTACTTGGAGAAGAGAAAAACTGAAAGGGGCGTGGCCACAGTTTTCAAATCTCTGAAGAGCTCCTTCTCCATGTGGAGGAGAAATCTCACTTTTTCTGTGAAGCCCTGAGAACAGAACTAGGAATACTGCGTGGATACTACGATGGAGACGATTGAAACTCCATAAAAGGAAGAGCTTTCTTAGAAGCACACTACGGAAGAGGGACTGTGTTGCTTTGTGAGCCCACGAGCCAGCAGGCCATTTGGTAAGCATCCTGGGAAGAACGTCCCATCACTGGGTCGACATTTGGATGAGACCACAGAGGCCTTTGCCAACCTGTAGATCCTATGAGTTTTAGACCCAGGTGAACATGTGGGTCAGGAAGACCATTCCCCACCATCAGCTTCTTTTTCTGTAAAGGGCTCTTGACTATTCTTACTCAGAAGCCTCAGAAACCTGTTAGACAGTATTTGGAGTTACAAGGTCTTCCTTGAAGAGAACCGGAAAACACTCCCACTTGTTCCTACACTTCACAAAATAAAACATGTGCAGACATTGTTAACTGTGGGCTCTTACACAAGAAATGTGACCTTTTAAAATAAGTTTTGGGCTTCCCTGGTGGTGCAGTGGTTGAGATGCAGGGGACACAGGTTCGTGCCCCAGTCTGGGAAGATCCCACATGCCGCGGAGCAGCTGGGCCTGTGAGCCATGGCCGCTGAGCCTGCGCGTCCGGAGCCTGTGCTCCGCAACAGGAGAGGCCCCAACAGTGAGAGGCCCGCGTACCGCAAAAATAAATAAGTAAATAAATAAAATACTCTAAAATAAGTTTTACTCCAATGAGGTGCCACCTCACACTGGTCACAATGGCCATCATCAAAAAATCTACAAACAGTAAATGCTGGAGAGGGTGTGGAGAAAAGGGAACCCTCTTGCACCTTTGGTGGGAATGTGAATTGGTACAGCCACTATGGAGAACAGTATGGAGGTTCCTCAAAAAACTAAAAACAGAACTACCATATGACCCAGCAATCCCACTACGGGGCATATGCCCTGAGAAAACCATAATTCAAAAAGAGTCATGTACCACAATGTTCATTGCAGCTCTATTTACAATAGCCAGGACGTGGAAGCAACCTAAGTGTCCATCAACAGATGAATGGATAAAGAAGATACAGCACATATATACAATGAAATATTACTCAGCCATGAAAAGAAACGAAATTGAGTTATTTGTAGTGAGGTGGATGGACCTAGAGACCATCATACAGAGTGAAATAAGTCAGAAGGAGAAAAACAAATGCCATATGCTAACACATATATATGGAATCTAAAAAAAAAAAAGTTTCTGAAGAACCTAGGGGCAGGACAGGAATAAAGACGCAAACGTGAAGAATGGACTTGAGGACACGGGGAGGGGGAAGGGTAAGCTGTGACAAAGTGAGAGAGTGGCATGGACATATATACACTACCAAATGTAAAATAGATAGCTAGTGGGAAGCAGCCGCATAGCACAGGGACAGCTCGGTGCTTTGTGACCACCTAGAGGGGTGGGATAGGGAGGGTGGGAGGGAGACACAAGAGGGAAGAGATACGGGGATATATGTATACGTATAGCTGATTTGCTGTGTTATACAGCAGCAACTAACACACCATTGTAAAGCAATTATACTCCAATAAAGATGTTAAAAAAAAAAGTAAAATAAGTTTTATCCTTCAGCACTTGTCTAGAATAGTCCTACCAAAGCTTGGAGAATTAGTTTTAATATAAAGCTGATAAGGACACAGGTTGAAAGTAATACAGTGGAAAAAGATGAACCTTAACAGACACTAACCAAAGAAAATGGTGTGACTATATTAATATTACACAAAGTAGACTTCAAGGCAAGAATTATTAGTGAAGATAAAGGACCTTTTTAATGATAAAAGAGTCGATTGAAAAGGATGACATAACAATCCTAAATTTGTAGGCTTCTGATATATCTTCAAAATATATAAAGCAAAAATGGACAGATCCAAAAGGAGAAATAAAGGAATCCAGAAGCCTGGTCGGAGATTCTAATCATACCTGCAAGAGACTGACTCGACAAGCAGACAAAAATAAGTAGACGTAGAAAATTTGAAGAGCATTATTAACCAACCTGACGTAGTTTACATTTATAGAAACTATAGGCAGCCACAGTAGAATATACAGTCTTCTGTATTAAGTGTATTAAATGAAGCTGATCCACACCCCTAAGTGGACTTGTAGTAATGCACATGCTCTAAGGAGAGTAAACAAGGGCATGGAACCATTGAGTAGGTACAGAGATTTTTAACTATCAGCTCGTAAGTTCTGTCAGTTAATGAACACTGACCACCTCTCGAGATGGTCAAGTGACAAATAGGCCATGTGTCATCTGCACATATGTCCAAAAAACATTGCATGGACTCTCCTTTTTTAGAAGGCACTTTAGAAGTTTCAGAGTAGATCTTTTCAAACAGAAAATATAAACGTTTAAATGGTCATGTCCATTGATCCAAAAATTCTGCTCATAGGAATGTTCACACAGACATACGCACAAGGATATTCGGTCCAGCACTATTTATAATATTTTCATTTTACATAAGAAGCTAATGCCAGTGACTTTTCCAAGTTTATTCAGCTGCAAAGTAATAAGGCCAGAATTTTAATCCTGAACCGTTTGCCTCAAAATCCTCTGCTCAGTCCTTGTACCTAGTACGGTAGTTGTGTTCAGAGCAGTCGTAGACCCTTGTGGGCTGTGTCTGACTAGCAGACACAGCACTCAGTGAGCAGCCTTTATAACTCTCTGCTCTAGGTGTAGATGGATCAGAAATGGTAACCCAAGAGCTGCAGTTGGAGGACAGGCCAGCCATGTGCATGCAGCAAAGAGCCCAGAGAACTTCTGGAACAGCTTTATCACACTCTCCCAATCCAATATCCGAAAATCTCTAAAAGTGGAGAATCGATTTCTGAGGCTCTTTAGAGGTTAGAGCTAGGACCAGAGAAGGAATTATGGGAAGAAAGATTGCAGCTCATTATGCTGGCAGTCAGAAGCAGCACAAAGTCCTGGGCTACAGGCTTGGATTCTGAATTCAGTTCTACCATTACTTACCTTGTAACCTTGGACAAATCACTTATTCTCCCTGGGCCTCCGTTTTCCCAACTGTGAAAAGGGAGGATTGAGTTAGACATTCTGTCTGGTCTCTGAGTTCCTTACGCCACACTGTTTCTAGATTCTGGATAGGCATCCACCTCCCCCAGTTCCCGCTCCCTCTAAGTCCCCCTCCGAGAACATAGCCAACCAGAGATTTCAAATCTTAGGATTCTATATCTCACTTCCCCAGATCATCCCCTCAAGTACCTGGAAAGAGTATGTGATACACTGAAGAGTCTTCTTTTATCTTGCTTCAGTATCCCTCAACCATTCTTGATATGATGTGGTTTCCAGACCTCCTTCCATTTGAAACACATCCCTCTGGCTTGCTCTAGTTTGTTAATGTCCACTAAAAGTGCAGCACCAAAACCACACAAACACAGACCTTCTGTTACAGACTTAACCACGGCAGAAAGGAAGAGGGTCTTATCTCCCTCATTCTGGTCACTGTACCGCTATTATTATGCCCTCTCCTCTGAAGAGCTGTGTTGACCACAAGGCACTGTGCTTCTTATCATGCATGTAGCCACAAAACCTCCAGCCCTTTTTCTGGCGATCTAGAGCTAAACCCAGAGAGAGAACCGCCGAGGAACCTGGGTATAGCTGTTGGCCCAAGCTGCAGTGTCAGTATAAATGTAACAACTAAGTTAAACTGTTGTGTTTCTTCAGCTAATTTAGTACATGTGTTTCTCTGCCTCCGTCTCTCTCACTTGCTCGCTCTTTTTTCACTGTAGGACTGATTTCTCCCCCGCCCTTCCCTACCCCCACCACCACCACCTCTGGCAACCATCAATCTGTTCTCTGTATCCATGAGCTTTTTTTTTTTTTTTAAGATTCCACATGCAAGATAGATCATACAGTTTTTGTCTTTCTCTGTCTGACTTCTTTCCCTTAGCATAATGCCCTTGAGATCCATCCATGTTGTCACAGATGGCTAGATTTCATTCTTTTTTATGGCTGAGTAATATTCCATTGTGTATATACCACAGTTTCTTAATCTGTTCATACATCAGGGGACACTTAAGTTATTTCCATATCTTGGCTATTGTAAATAATGCTGCTGTGAACATGGGGGTGCATATATGTTTCTGATTGAGTGTTAATATTTTCTTTGGGTAAATACCCAAAAGTGGAATTGCAGGATCATGTGATAGTTCTGTTTTTAACTTTAAGGAACCTCTATACTGTTCTCTGTAGTGGCTGCACCAATTTGCATTCCCCCTGACAGTGCACAAGGGTTCCTTTTTCTCCACATCCTTGCCAACACTTTATTTCTTGTCTTTTTCTTTTTTCTTTTTTTTTTTTTTTTGCAGTATGCAGGCCTCTCACTGTTGTGGCCTCTCCCGTTGCGGAGCACAGGCTCCAGACGCACAGGCTTAGCGGCCACGGCTCACGGGCCCAGCCTTTCCGCGGCATGTGGGATCTTCCTGGACTGGGGCACGAACCCGTGTCCCCTGCATTGGCAGGTGGATTCTCAACCACCGTGCCACCAGGGAAGCCCTTTCTTGTCCTTTTGATAAAGCCGTTCTGACATGTATGAGATGATATCTCCTTGTGGTTTTGATTTGCATTTCCCTGATCATTAATAATGTTGAGCATCTTTTCTTGTATCTGTTAGCCATCTGTATGTCTGCTTTAGATAAATATCTATTCGGATCTTCTGCCCATTTCTTAATTGGATTGTTTCTTTGCTATTGAGCAATACAGGTTCTTTATGTATTTTAGATATTAGTCCCTTAAGAGATATATGTTTTGCAAACAGTTCTCCCATTCAGTAGATTGCCTTTTCATTCTGTTGATGGCTTTCTTTGCTATACAGAAGCTTTTTAGTTTGATGTAGTCCCACTTGTTTATTTTTGCTTTTGTCACTTTTGTTTTTGGTATCAGATTCAAAATATCATCACCAAGGCCTGTGTCAAGGAGCTTACCACTTATATTTTCTTCTAGGGGCTTTATGGTTTCAGGTCACAAGTATGTGGAGATTAAACAACATGCTACAGAAGTGGGTTGAAGGAGAAATCAAAAAGAGAAATTTACAAAGTACCTGGAGACAGGGCTTCCCTGGTGGCGCAGTGGTTGCGAGTCCTCCTGCCGATGCAGGGGACACGGGTTTGTGCCCCGGTCCGGGAAGATCCCCCATGCGGCGGAGCGGCTGGGCCCGTGAGCCATGGCCGCTGAGCCTGTGCGTCCGGAGCCTGTGCTCCGCAATGGGAGAGGCCACAACAGTGAGAGGCCCGCGTACCGCAAAAAAAAAAAGTACGTGGAGACAAATGAAAATGGAAGTATAACATAACAGAATTTGTGGGATGTAGCAAAAGCAGTTCTGCATTCTACCTCTAAGTTCATAGCAGTCAGTGCCTACCTCAAGAAACAGAAGTCACAAGCAACCTAACTTTACGCCCCAGGGAACTGGAAAAAGATGAACAAAAGAAGCCCAAAGTTAGTAGAAGGAAGGAAATGACTAAGATGAGAGCAGAAATCAATGAAATAGGACTTCCCTGGTGGCACAGTGGTTAAGAATCCACCTGCCGGTGCAGGGAGCACGGTTTCGAGCCCTGATCCGGGAAGATCCCACATGCCGCGGAACAACAAAGCCTGTGCACCACAACTACTGAGCCTGAGCTCTAGAGCCCATGAGCCACAACTGCTGAGCCCACGTGCCCCAACTACTGAAGTCCGCGCACCTAGTGCCCGCGCTCCGCCACAAGAGAAGCCACCGCAGTGAGAAGCCTGCGCATTGCAGTGAAGAGTAGCCCCCACTCACCACAACTAGAGAAAGCCCATGCACAGCAGCGAAGACCCAACGCAGCCAAGAAAGAAAGGAAGGAGGGAGGGCGGGGAAAGAAAGGGAGGGAGGGGAGGGAGGAAGGAAGGAGGAAGGAAGGAAGGAGGTGATCATTTTAAAAAAGAAGAAATCAGTGAAATAGAGACTAAAAAGACAATAGAGAAGGTCAAGGAAACTAAGAGCTGATTCTTTGAAAATGTAAACAAAACTGAGAAGCCTTCAGCCAGACTCACCAAGGAAAAGAGAGCAGACTCTGTGCTCACGTTAGAATGTCCACACCACCCAAAGCAATCAACAAGATTCAACGCAATGCCTATCAAAATGCCACAGAACTAGAAGAATAATCCTAAAATTTGTGTGGAACCACAAAAGACCCCAAATGGCGAAAGCAATCTTGAGAAAGAAGAACAAAGCTGGAGACATCACACTCCCTCATTTCAAACTATATTACTGTAATTTTAGTATAGTAATTAAAAACTATAGTAAATAAAAAGCATGATATTGGCATAAAAACAGACACAGAAATCAACGGAACAGAATAGAGAACCCAGTAGTAAACCCATGCGGATATGGTTTTATTAATTTATGACAAAGGAGTCAGGAGTATATAGTGGGGAAAGGACAGTCTCTTCAGTAAATGGTGTTGAGAAAACTGAATAGCCACATGCAAAAGAATGGATAGTTGTCCTTTTAACTAATAACCCATTTATTAGTGCATTCTAAGTATTAGACACTTTGCAGAGGGCTATGGGAGGCATAAATATGAATTAGAAAAGACTCTTGCCCTTAAGGATCTTTATATCTAGAAGTCTCCATAAGATATGTGTCACCATGTGACCTTTGCAGTAACCCCATTAGGTCAGTAGAGCCAGGATCATTATCCCCATTTTATAACTGGCGAAACTGAGACCCAGAGAAGTGCGGTGCCGCCTAGGGTGACATGGCTGGGAGGCAGGACCAGGACCCAGGGAACCTGACTCCCAGCTTAGGGCTCTCATGTGGTGGTCACGACCACACTCTTCGTTTGCTAAATGAAATAACTGGTTTTCAAACCCTCAGTGTTGTATAGATCATGTTGAAAAGCTACCTGTTCGTGCTTTCCCCTTCTTCTGACCCCATCCCCGTCCCCCTGTCCTCTTGTAGCCCCAGGGGACACAATATCCTTGCCCCACACAGCTCCCTCCAGCTCACTTACCTTTTATTTATTTACACGTATTTCTCTCTCTTTTCCCTTTCAGGTTGTGATCAATTATTCAATCGTGAAAGGGCTGAAGTATAATCAGGCAACGCCAACCTTCCACCAGTGGCGAGATGCCCGCCAGGTCTATGGTTTAAACTTTGCAAGTAAGGAAGAGGCGACCACGTTCTCCAATGCCATGCTGTTTGCCCTGAACATCATGAATTCCCAAGAAGGAGGTAAGCGGGGCTCTGTCTTGGCCTGGTGCCTAGACTCTCTCTCATTCTACCTCTGCCCTCCTACAGTTCTGGCTGCCTGGGTGTCCTTGCCCTGCAGCTGCACTGAGCTGTTGCTTTGTGGGTTCTCAGAGAAACCCACTGCCTGACTCTAGATTTAAAGCTATGTTAGCAATTTGAAGGAGGAGAGAATGGCATTTACATCTTTTTTGCCCTTGGTGAGATACAGATTTGTACTGTGTTCCTAAAGCCAAGTGTCCAGATGCATTTTACATTTGTCATCCTAATTCGATATTCTAGACACATGTTTGGCATAGATCGGAGGGAACAAGCAAAAATGTGTTCTTGTATTCAATTATGCATATGTTTAGCACACTTTTACTAAACATTTACTGAGTGTTAGAAACTGACTAGACAGAATAGGTAAGAAATGGGTAGGTGGAGTCCTTTCCCTCAAGGCACTTGGTATCTTGGAGTAGGCGGATTCATGAACAACTGTAACGTACTGTGATAAGTGTGCTGATAAGGTATGAGCAGGGCAGGGGCTTGGGGAACACAGAAAGGGAAATAAGGGACTGCCCATATGGGCTGCCAAGGGAGGCTTTGAGCGGGTGGTGACATTTGAGCTGGAGTTTTGAAGGGCAAAGAGGTGGGAGTGGGCATCCCAGGCAGAGGGAGCAGCAAATACGAAGGCACATGGGCCTGAAAGCCCAGCACATGCTGGGAAAGAGAACACTGCAGTGTCTCTGCAGACTGCGGTGCCAATAGGAAAGAGATTGGATGTGGAATTAGAAGGGTGGCACGGATTGCACAGTGAAAGGCTCCAAATTGGAAGACTTGGGGTGTAGACAGTGGGCTGGGGGCGGCGAGTGGCGCTAGCAAAAGCTTCTATGCAGGGCAGGTAAAGCAAAGGAGCAGAAACACACGTGGCTGAAATTTGTAGTGTTAGCTTCAGAGGGAGGTCGGAGGCCTTCCAGGATGTTGGCATCTTGGTGGCCACAGAGACAGTCTTGCACTTTGCTGGAGATCTTACCTTGGTAGGGCGTGGTAGTGAGGAACTGGGCCTCGGGGTGCCCTGCTGGCCTTGAGTCCTGGTCATTTTTCTAGGCTTCGATTTCTTTAGCTATAAGATGGGTGATATGTGGTTGTTCTTACGTTTAAATGAAGTTGAATGTCTGTTAGCAGGCTGCCTGACACGTATTAATCACCCAGTATTAGTATTTGTGGGTATTGTTACTGTCACTGCTGCTACTGCTGCCAGGATTGGGGTGGGAAGTGGAGAGACATAGTACTTGGAACCTGGAGGGAGATGGCTGGCTTTTCAATATCTATTGTGCCTGACAGGTTGGAGCTTTGGGACCCAATTTAAACCCTAGGCGAATTTTTGTAAGAAAATAAAGAACACGTTCTGAGTATGCTTCCCACAGGTCGTGCATAGAACCGGCACTTGTAGAGTTCTGTCCCCACTGTGAAAAGGCCCCAGGGTTTGTGGATTTTCTGCTGAGAACTGGGGGTGCGTGGCGAGGAACCACAGCGGTGTGAGTGATGAGTGCAGGGCCTGCCTGCAACATTGTAGGCACCAAATAACCGCGTAGTCAGCTGTCTTTTTTTCCACCCAAAAGCCTTGAGCTTCGTGGTGGAGTGAGCTGAGTTTAAGGTTTCTGATCCGAGCTGCCTCACTTGCCCCGGGATGTGGGAGTTAAGCTTTATTTTATCTGTACATACAGATACATTAAGGGGGGGGGGGGGAAAGGGTTTTAATTTATTCAGATGACTGATGCAAAGCAACTACTAGTTATTTTTTTAACTTCACCATAGAATCACAAGGAAATCAGCTCATCCAGCCCTCATTTTCAGACAGGAATCGTGTGACCTAGTATGAAGAAATAACTTCCCGGTGCCAGGTAGTAACTCAGATTCAGAACCCCGACCTCCTGCGTCTCCTCTGGGTTGAACGGGTGTCTTTGTTGGGGTGGGGGGTGGATGTGTGCTCACGAGGTGACAGTGGCCTGACTTGAAACTTTCATCATGGGTAGTAGTCGCCCATCCTGGTTCCACGGCCTTTGGTGGAGGGGAGACCGTGGGGCCGCTGAGGAGGAAGCGTTTTCTTCACCTGGGGTGTAGCCCACTGTACCGTACAGAATCCTGAAGTGTGAGCTCCATGAGCTTGTACATATGCATATGCAGAACCCCTGCCAGGCCCTGCCAGGGACCAAATCCCTCCGCCCCCTCCCAGGAAAACCAGGATGTCAAGTTCTGTGACAGCAGAGCACTCTTACCTGTGTTCGAACTTTGTGTAAATGGATCATATAGTGTGCACTTTGGGGCCTGATTTCTGTCCCTCGACATTACGTCTGAGAGACCCGCCCCTGGACCCATGTGTCTCTGCAGCCAGCTCTGTCACTGTGGAGTGCCACTCCATGATACGGCTATGCCACCATGACCTGTAGTTCAGGCCTCAGAGCGTGGGCAGGGCACAGGCAGCCTCTCCACCAGCTACCACAGGAGGCCTCTGCTGCAGGATAATTGTGAGGCTTCTATCAAATCTCCTCTGTATTGGCAAATTGTGTTCTACCCTCCTCGGCGGGAGGCGGTTTTCCGTGCAGCGGACCCTTGAACCAACACGGCTTTGAACCAAGCGGTCCACTGACAGTGGTTTCTTTTCCATGAATGCGTCTCTGGCCCTACATGATCCGCAGTTGGTCGCATCTGCGGGTGAGGAGCCGTGGACGTGGAGGCCAGCTGTGCAGTTACACGCAGGTTTTCACACATGCAGACTCAGAGCCCGACCGCCACGTTGTTCAGGGGTCAAGTGTAGTGAGAAAAGCATGTGTTCGGAGGCACTGAGATCTTATACTGAGTCTTTGCTCTGCCACCTGTGGCCTTGGGGTAATAAACCCTACTTCCTAGGGTTGTCATGAGGGTTAAATTTAAAATGTTTATAGAGTACTTAGTGTACAGTGCCTGGTATGTGATAAGAGCGTGAATAATACTGGTTCTTTCCCCTTTGGTCCTGTTGAATTTGCTTATCTTCTGTAGGCTTCAGCATCCTTATTTGTAAAGTGGGGTCATAAGTGCCACTTCCAGAGTTGTGGAGAGGATTCAGTTGCCCGGCATGGGGCCTGGCGCCTCGTGAGTGCCCGCCTCTGCTCCCTCCCCTCCTCACTGGCATGTCCGGTCCCGTGCTGGGCATCTGGGGCTCGGGCCATCGGATCGTGGACTTTCTGAGACTCAGGGTCTCATCAGCATCTCCCACCTCCCCCTCGTGCGTGAGCGACACTAGTGTGGCCTCCTGGGGTCCAACAAACCTGGCAGACACAAGATGCTTAGATACGAACCTGAAAGCAAAGCAGAGCAAATCGTGGCCGCCCGGTCTTCACACCCCTTTCTCTTACCTGATTCTCACCACAGCCCTGGGAAGTGAGTCCCCACACAACGTGGCTGGGTTAGGAGGCCGGTGCTCAAGAGGGGAGGGGCTTACCTGGATGTACACCCAGGACTTGACCCACTCGCAGTTTGTACCCTCTGTGTGCTGAGGACAGGTCACGACTCTGCTCTTTCTTTGTTCCTTCCTGCCTGTCACCATGGTAAAACCCACTGTTCAGCAGAGTTCTTGACATTATTCTGGAGAAAGAACGGGCGCAACAGAGTAATGTTTTCGCTGCCTGACTTCTACGTGGAAGAGAGAGTAGAGAGTCAGAGAGACCCTTGAGAGATCTGTTTTGCTGGCATTGTTCCTTGGTACCCACAAAACCTGTCTTTTTACGCCAGTGAGTTTTGGATACTCATTCTTCAACTTCAGGCCCAACCTAGGGAACCTAAAGCCAATTTCGCAAAAGTCAAATCAACAAATTAAATAATGGTCCTGTTGCCTGGTGCTTTCGGTTCCCTGGGTAGGGACAGGAGTGCAGAGCTGGCTCAGGGTTCTCTTGGGACCCACAAGGCTCTGGGTTCAGGGGTTATCTCGGTGGATAGGGACAGTCAGCCACTGGGTCCTTGGGGCTTTTTCTGTAGAAATTGGCACCTGGAGGTAGTTTGGGGTGTGGGGAGGAGCCGTCTGTCTCCCAATGCGCAGCCGTCTTCTGCGTGAAGGAGTGCCGACGTTGGCGGAAACGGGGCCTCCCGGTGGGGCGCCGCTCCGTGACGGGGTGTGATGGCCGTGGGTGGTGTGTGTGCTTAGGGGGACTCCGAGTGGGGCTTCTGTGGTCTAGTTGGATGGCAGAGATAATGACCATAGTAATAATAACATCTAGGCTTCCTCTGCAAAGCCCAGGATTTTTGTTTCTTACCAGGATCTTCTCCCACTTCTTGAGGGAAGGGGCTCCCACTAACCAGGCAGCCCCACAGGTAGGCCTCAGCTGGCTAAGAAAGGACTTCTTATACTCTAAAGAGCCTATAATTTGGCTTTTATTTCCCACAGGTTGTCAGGCCGGCTACTGTTAGACACATTTATTCAGATGGGGGCTTGGGGTTAAAAGAGGTGACATGTCTGCCAGAGTCTTCCAGTGGAACTGAGACTCAATTTTAGGGCTCCTGGTTTGAAATCCAGTTTTTTTTCTACAACTCTGCAGCACCTCAGTAGGTCAGAGGGGAGGGTCAGCCAGCCTTGGGCCCAGCCTGAGCCCACAGCTCCAGGTGGGCTTCTTGCTCTGGGGATCACAGGGGCTCGGTCAGGGCAGTGAGCATGGCTCATGGCACGTTACAGCTGCTACAGAAAGAGGACCGAGGACGCGGGCCTCGGTGCAGGCAGGTCTGCACCGTCTCAGCTCCCACACCGCTGATGCAGCTACCTGGATTCCCTGCGGCTGCTGTCCTCAGTGGGCGTGCACCACCTTCTGGTAAAGCCGCCAGCTGCCAGGCAGGGCGGCAGTGTTTACAGGCTATACTTGGCCACCCGGCCCAGCTCAGCTTCCCTCCCCGCTACAGTTCATTCTCTTAGCAGACTTCAGTTCACGGTTTAGTGGCCTTATAAAGGCAGCTGCTTCTATATGCTTCCATGTGAG